ATAATATATGGTTATTGATCTCATCCTTTTGGTAGTATCCCCACTTGTTTGATTTATGTACTTTTCAATAAGTACCTTCTATAGTTTTACCATGCAATAGATGCACGACTCATATCTTTTCCAACCACCCCAAAATTTATCTCATAAATTAGGCACTAATTGGTTACCTACCAATCAATAAAAATCCTACACGGATGCCAGTATAAATATGACGCTACACACTTGCACGGGTACAATACTTCATCTCTGAAACAAGCCACACACATGACCTGATAGCCTGTTCGCTTGCTCGTAAACGATCGTAAATTTCCAGTCGGGAACAGTGTTTTTCTCTCACACCAAACCAGCCAGCAATAAATAATCCACGATACGATACGGCCTCCCGAACAGGCTGATTAGTGTTAGCGTAAACAAATAAGATGATGAGACATGAGACTGTACTGGAAAAAGAAAAAAACGTGACGCATGGAAATTTGAGGCATCGGGAAAGAGGCACACACTGGTCATCTGGCTCTGTCTGCTACTCTGGATGATTTATATCCGGCTAAGCTATTTTACCCATGGTTCCAACGGTTTGTCGACATCCACCCCCACCAGCAGGTCTATCACAATCGGCCTCGAAAGAGCCTAGTTACAGAGATTAGGAGTTTCAGAATGGTTATCCAGTCATCGCCATATGGCCGGTGGCTGTTGACAACTAAAATTGTCCATTTTGTGAAGTTGTCAAAATGTAGAACGGACTTCACCATTGTATTCCTCTCGTCGAATTCGGAGTCCGGATAAAAAAGTTATGCCCCCAGAAACTTACTTCGTTGTCGGGAGTTTCAACCCAAATCAGGACTTCCAACTGTCGGAAGTTTCGACGGGTGTCGGGACTTCTAGGAAGCCTGAAGAAACCTGCCCGAGTGTCTGTAGTTATCCCTATGCCGGGAGTTCCGACAAAAGTTGAAAGTTCCGACCCAAGTCGGGACTTCCGACAGATCTAACAAAAAACCTGTTCGGATATGGCTGTTTGGATTCTGATCCGAACTGTTCCAAACTCGTGGGAAACTTAGAAAATAAGGCTTGGAGAGGTTTCCTACTGGGATAAGACCACCCCCTCTATATATATGAGAGAATCATGGTCGATTGAGTTTCTATCTATCCAATCGTCATACAAACCAATCTATCAACTTCTTTTTTCCTAATTCCTCTCTCTTAACCCCTCTTGTTGTTCGTTGAGTTTCCCGACGAGATTTAACGGCATCCTAGGTGGCCTTGCTGGTCCTAGGAGATCCTCTATGTGCTCCTCCCCGACTGGTCTTCCAGGGAGAAGTTCAGGAGCTTTTCCGGCCAAGAACATGCTCTACATTGGTCTCATCGGTCTCTAGATCGGTTTAATCGATTACGCCGTGTTCTTGCTGCATTACAGGTTGTGTGCAACCTCTTTGGGCATCAAGGCCTACTGGTGTGTTGGCTTGGGGTCATCTTCAATGTTAACATACTTTTTGTTGACTCCGCTGGGGAGAGCGAAGCGACTTAAGAACTAATCTACTAGCAACATGGGAGGCAACGATGGTGCTGCCACCGACAAGGGTGACAAGACCAGCCCTTTCAATGAGGCTAACATGATCTTTCCTCAAAATATAGACAAGCTTTCAGATGAGTTACGCCAAATGCTACAAGCCAAGCTCGATGCCGATGTCAAGGCTTTCCTGGAGAGCAACACCAAGAAAAGAAACTATAAGGGCCCAAGCTAAGGATAGAGCAGCAGCACCGAGCGCATGAAAAAGGCCGTGTGAGGTTAGAGTGTGTGTATGTTGTATGCTGCTACTGTGGCAATGCTGTGATATAAAGGAGTAAATTACAACTTCAATTCTCATGTTGTACTAATCCTCCGTTGAGGGCCTCTTTGATTCCTTGGAGAGGTATATGATGATATGGTTGTAGGACTATTTTAATGTTTAGATGGCCAATAATGTGATTTATTGGATTAATTCTAGGTTTCTTATCAATATACTGATAGTATTGAATTACTAAGCAGTGTTTTATTTCTCAGGCTACTTCTCTTGCTTAATTAATTCGATGCATATGTATATGTGTGCTTGCATTAAGAAACCAGTGTGACCTGTACGTGTGCAAGATAAAGTGACACTTGTTGAATAAAGTCCTGCCAATTTAATTAGAATCGGATAACTAAAAGTTCTTCTGTAATACAAACTGCTTGCACTTTTGTGTATACTAGGTAGCGTGCCCGTGCGTTACTACGAGACAACTAAATCTTTTATACTAAAAACACACGGATCGCACGATAAGATAATAATACTGTTAAATTAAATACCGACGTCAAAGTGACATTTAATTCAAAAAGCAAAGTTTGTGAAATTAACACAGTCACGGAGAGCGCGACGTCACAGGCTCACAAACTCTGTTGTATAGACTTTTTCGTGATACGGCTAAGATAATATTTTATATCAGTAAAAAGAATTCTACGATATCAATTTCTTTCATGCGCCAATAAATTCATGAATAAGTTCCGCTGCATCTCCGTATAATTATGTACACACATGTTCGAGTATATATGCAAATTGGTTCGTGCCCGTGCGTTGCTACGAGACAGCTAAACTTTTGTATTAAAAACACACGGATCGCACGATAAGATAACAATACTGTAAAAGTATATGACGGACGTTAAAGTGACATTTAATCCAAAAAGCTAAGTTCGTGAAATTTACAGTCACAGAGAGCGTGGCGTCGCAGGCTCACAAACTCTACTGTGTAGATCTTTTCGTGATGCGGCTAAGATCATTTTTTATACCGGCAGGAAGATACTTCCGATATCCATTTCTTTTGTGCGCCAATAAATCCACGAATAAGTTTCACCACATCTCCATACCATCCTGTACACGACGCTGGCAAGCGAATTAGCCACAACTTATGTAATTAGTTTTATAATTAGCTCATGTTTAGTCCTCCTAATTGATATCTAAAAATTCAATGTGACAAGGACTAAAGTTTAGTCCTGGGATCCAAACACCCCTAACTCTCGACTCCTGCTGACTGCTCACTTGCACCACCATGCCTATGTGCCTGCACGTATATACTCTAATGCTAGAACGTCTAAGATGGTCTTTATTGTCCACCTTTTAAAAATATCATAACTTTAAGGTTGCCATTTGCGTACGCTGTAGGATTATGATGCTTTGCACTTATTCATGAGGGTGTCCATGAAAGTCGAAATTTTTTATGCCATTATAATGTCTAAGCTTACCAATCAGACAGAGACGAAATTGATTGTTAAAATATTTTCTACACTGCTTTCATATACTTCCTCTGTCCCAAAATAGAATTCATTCTCACTTCACGAGAAGTCAACTTTTTTTTAACTTCGACCAATTATATATAAAAGAATATTAATATTTATAATACATAATTAGTATCATTACATAGACCATTAAATATATTTTCATAATAAACTTATTTAGAGATATAAATGTTGCACGTATTTTTTACAAACCTAATCAAAGTTGAGAAAGTTTGACCTGCACGCATCCCATAACGACTTATATTTTAGGGCGGATGAAATATATGCTAATGGGAGTAGTCAACTGAAAGTCGTGATGAACACAACAATACTTTCGTATTATATGCTAATGGGAGTACGAAGAAACGCATGGGAATGGACCTATATACTAATGGTGGGAATATTCGTTTAGAAAATTACAGAAGGTTCACCAGTCTCACCATGTATAACATGCACATCTTTTATTTGGCACAACTGATGTTCTCAAGGAGCAGCTATTTTTTAATTTCAGATCTGCATGCTGAAAACACTAAAATTAAGGGCCAATCTCATTGAGTCGTCTTGCTCGATCTCAGGTGACCGAGCGAGAGAGGGGCACCGCATGATTGTTTCCTTCCATGCATGATTATTGTTTTCTTCCATGCATGTGACCTCAGGTGATCGATTTGTTTCCTTCAAAGCAGGCGGAGATCGCAGGGATGGCAATTTCTTTTTCTATCACGCGGTGCATGATTATTGTTTCCTTCCATGCATGTGGCCTCAGATAATCGATTTGTTTCCTTCAAATCAGGCGGGGATCGCATGCGTGGGCAAACGGATGAACCAAAACAAATGTCGCACAAAAAAATATCACACTTTGTTCTTTTTAGTTGTAAAGAGATACTGAAGGAAAATACAAATTCTACAACACTTGGTTAATGAATGGACAAATTTCATCACCCAACCCTGGTTGGGAAATTTGACAAATTATTGTTGCTGCAACATGGGACAAGTACTATCTTCAAGGCAACATGTGTGTTCAGCAGTTATATATCATGAAACTGTGGCACAAGTTACAGGTAATTTTCTCAATTAACAACCATAACTGAGCACTGATATAAATATTACGCCAACTGACCTGCATCTACGATACTCTATAAACAAAATTTGTAAAATTCTAACGTGAGATGTGGGAATGGGAGACATCATGGAAGAGGCATATGCTGATCCTGCAGCCGCTTGGTGCTATACGCCTTCTGCTAGTCTTCCCGGCTGCATCAAACTGCAATGTACCAATGCAAGATTGGTTTGTAGTGTGTTGAGTACGTTTTTCATAAAGACGAGGAGTTAGAGTACAATACACGCACAAATACAGAGAAGGAAAAGAAACTAGAGTGGCCCTTGAAACCAGCCAAAAACAATAGTTGAATGGAATTCTAGATGCAGTTTTTGTGCCCTTAAGGGCATGTGCCCCATGCACATCCAACCTTAGAGACAAAATTTACTTTTCCGAGGTTTATTTCAAGTGCTAGTTGCTACAACACATTGCTAAAATAAAGAACATTTCTCTTTCTAGAGACTCCAAGTGACCAAGATTACCAAGGAGTCAAATCAGGTGGATTTGGAACCTGTTTGTGTGAATCAACACCAAGAGGCGCAAGTATTTGTGCTAGAGATGGCATGTTTGCTCTGTCGAGTGCAAAACAGTGAAGGCAGGTTCAGCATACCTAAACTAGTACTAGGCCGTAGCACCAGCCTCCTCTTTCCTCTTGCGAGCCCACCTCGGGCTAACCTCGATGAGCCTGTGCGGCATCAGCTGCCGCTCCTTTCTGGTCAGCTTCTTATAGTTGCTCACCCTGAGTCTGGCAATCTTTGCCTCTTCCTCAGCTGTAGCTTCTCTAACCACCACTGTCAGTCTGCACCTTGGTCGCACCATGATACCGCACCTCCCTTTTGCATGGTAAGACAGTCTCTTCAGGTAAAGTCCCTTTCCCACAAAGGCCTCCTCTGTGGTTTTCATGGATAACACGAAAGTGGTTAGATTATAACAAATGTAGGGGATGGATCTTGCTTTGTTAAAAGTTTTACCAACAATGAGCTTATCAGGATCCAATCCATGGTTGTGAGCTGCATTGGCACGAGCAGAATGGATCACCTGCAGTGATTTGTAAGATGAAATGTTGATGACATGTGTCTTTGGTCATTTTTGCACTATCATAGAAACAGTTGAGTGGTCAAATTTTCAACAAGCAAGGACCTGGTAAACAGTTTTGGCAGCCCTTTTAACAGTCACTTGCAGCTGCAATAAGGCATCTTCCACCGCATACCTCGAACCAGCTTTGCTACCAGATTCACCTTCTTGGGACTCTGAAATAGCCAGAAGGCTTCAGAAAGATGAGATACATACATCTCTTGATGATAATAGATTACAGAAAAAAGCAATGCCCAATATACGTGTTAATGAAATCTGTACAGCGTTCCCCTATCAAGTGTTTACTGTTCAGTAATTCAAACTGAGCTGAAGTTAAGCGCCAGGCGGCAGGTGCAGCTTCTAGAAACAAACAGTCAGCAACAGCAATTTAGGAATTTGTACTATGAAAGCATTGAAATCTCACGAAACCATAATTAACTATTCCAGAGAAAGAAACATGGATAAAATAGCCATGTACAGTACAGCTAAATTATGATAATTTGCACATTCATAGATATGCAATGCTGTCAGTAAACTAGCAAATTCATAGATGTTTCATAGAAGCAAATAACTAGTTCTGCAGTGTTTGTTTACCTGTTTGATATCCTTTTTTATGGCTTGGACCTTTAGGCGTTTTACCACAGCCCCCTTTTTGTCAGTTTCTTCGCCGTCACCAAGTGGAGGAGTCAAAGGAGAAGAAATAGGCACCATAGCATCATCTGCAAGCAGATTCCTTGTAGTTGATATCCCCTGCAACAAAGTACCGAGATCTATGTAAATAGTTACCCTAGAAACTTAATATTCCCTGCAAATTCAGCTTGGTAACTTTTGATCGCCCAGTAATCCAGGGAAACAAAATTAGTATCTGTATCTCTAATCGAAGTGGAAGAATCATCGTAAATGAAGGATGACCATGTCTAACGCATCCAACCTTGGTAATAGCAGCAGTCAGAGTGGTTTTGCCGTGATCGACGTGCCCAATGGTGCCGACGCTCAATTGGGGCTTCCTGCGCAGGTTGATCCGGATTGGAAAGTGAATCAAACGAAGCAAACGAATCCATGGAAATGGATAATCACGAATCACACGAGTCTGAACCGACAGAGTAGCGTGTACGCATGGAACGGATCTGGGACAAGGAGTACTCACGTGCACGTGAAGGTGGCCACGGACCTCGCCCAGAGGGTCCCGGTCAGCGGTGGCGGCTGAGCCGGCGCCACCGCCGCCGCCGCCGCAGCCGCGGGAGCATCGGGTAGCGCGGCGGGTCCCGAGATCGCGGCGGCGCGGAGGGTGGGGTAGGAGAAGAGGCGGCGGGAGCCGGCGTTCCGGAGCACCGCGCCGGAAGCCATTACCTGTCGTCGCGTCGCTGCACGGCGGCGGCGGCGGCCGCGCGAGGAGCAGAGTGGAGAGTGGAGACGAGGGGGAGATGGGTTTAGGGCCGGCATACGCTGCTCCTCATCTAACCGTGCGGCGCGCTGGACTTCCGGGCCCAAGCTAACCGCCATCTATGGCCCATGGGCTGGTCGGGTATCGGCTCTGCTTACTGTCTCGCTACCTACTTGCTCGGCAAGCGGCAGCAATGTCATTGGTGGCTATTTGTTATGGGCCTAAACACGAAGGACAATGTTGGGCCATAGGCCTAGTGCGTGTGTGTGAGTGGCCTGTGCGGCAAGTGTCGATTGGGTTGCCATAATCCCCGTTGCTTACGTGGCAAGTGTCAATTGGCTTGTGCGGCAAGTTGTCCACTAGACGGCCAGGCATCTCGCCGAGCAAAATGGCATGGGACTTGATAGGGCTCTAACGTTCAATCCGGGATGCTAGCATCGGATGGTGCTCACGCAACAAGCAACCAAGCACCTCCATCAATGTCAGACTTACGAGCGAGCTCCCCAGCAGCAGGCCCGTGCCGCCCCGAACGTCACTCGTGGCGTCAAACTGCATGCAGGGGACCACTCGCGCCCCCTCGTGCTTCTCACGCGCATCCCATATGCAACACCTCGATCTACTTTTAAAACATTCAGATACAACGCTTATAACATTAAAAGAAGACAAATAAAACACTTGAAGTGTGCCTCTAAAATCCTTGTAAAAACACCTAAAAAATATTTGAAAACCATTGCAAACATTACGCAACATCCAGATAAAAACACTTGGAACATATGTGTGAAAACATATGCAACATCCAGATAAACACACTTGCAACATAGTTTAAAAAACAGATGAAACATTAGGAACAGAAGCTTGCAACACATGTATACAACCATTGCAACATATGCAACATCTCAATCTACTTTTGTAACATCCGTATAAAACACTTCAAACATACATCTGATACAACTGAAATATTTGAAATATAGGCTTGCAACATATTTGAAAACGCCCTAAAACACTTGAAACACAGCGTCGCCGGCAGCTAGGCATGGCCTACATGCTGGGGAACTGTGGTGGCGCAAGTGCAAGCCTCCCTAGGCGTAGGCGTAGGCCTCCCCTGCTTCCCCTTCCACGACAAGCGAGGTGGATATGGGGGCGCGGCGCTGGATGGTGGTGCTCCCGATCACATGCTGGCACAAGCTGTCGCCGCTCCGGTGGAGAAGGCCATGGCGGGTCTAGCGCGAGCTGTGGCTACTCCGGTGGAGAAGACGGCTGGCAAGCTAGAGAAGGCCGCAGCAGGCCAGAGGCGTGATGGAGAGGGAGGAAGGTGGCGGTCGAGAGGCGCGATGGAGACTGGAGAGGGAGGAAGGCGGGCGGCCATGCTTGGGTGCGGTGGAGAACGCTTGTAAGGATTGAATAAACCTAGAGGGGGTGGGTGAATAGTCCTATCAAAACAAAACTCAAAGTTTTCTGTCAGCAACAGGAGCGGCACTTCTGCTTAGAGCCCGGCACTGTCGCTTGAGTAGCATTGCCGGCCTCAGAGTCGCACTGACGCGTGCACATATTACCTCGAGGTCACAATTCAAAAACGGCCCAAAGGAAATTAGATCGAGTAATTTACTGAAGTTCCTAGAGTAGAGTAGAGTCTATTTCACCACTTGAATGTAGTCAAAAGCTTAAGCACAAGTAGATCGGGACCAAACCCTAGAATCACCAACAAACAAATAGAGCACAATACAAATCACAGCAACACAAGAGACAAGGTGTTTATCCCATGGTTCAGCTCGCCACAAAGGCTTGCCTAAGTCCACATTGTTGAGGAAACCATGAAGGCTTGGGTTTCGCAAACCCTATCATTGTTCTCAAGTCAAGAGAGTTAGTCTCTTGAGATGAGGGTTGCTTACTAGATTGTCGAGGGTGATTACAAACTTCCCGGAGCTGCCACATGAGTTGGAGGCTTCCACGGGCGACGCCTAGCCGGCTAGGAGCCTTGCTCTAAGAGTAACAAACACAATCCACCGGCTAGATGCGAACCAAGTGCTCTTAGGAGTTTAAGCTCAGTTGGGGCTACTCTCTAATGGAGTTTAGAGGCTCAATCTCTCAAGGATTAGCAAAGGAATGCAAGGGAGAAAGCTTGGGAGCTTGGGAGCCTTGAATGGAGAGCTGCTCTTGTCTGAAGGTTGAAGATGAGTGAATGGTCGAGATGACCGTTGGGGATGCACGAAGGAGATAGACATACCCCCTACTGTCCAATGGTAACTTTTAAGTCACGGCAGTGCCGCTCAAGCTAGGTAGCCAAACATGTGAAGAGTGAAAAACTTGCTGCAGTGGCTAGGTTTTGAGGATATTTTGGTGGAACTTTTTGAGCACTTGGTTGCACATTTAAGCTTGTGCATTGTATTCCTCTTTATAGTACAGCTTTTTCTATACTCAAATTCACAATATGAAATAATTTAAACGCCATTGAGTCGGTTGCCACTTCATTTTGTAGTTGAGGGCTCCACCAAAGTATAAGTTGTCCTCCTTTTAATTTTACCTGCTTGTCATCTTAATAAATCTCGTTAGTCTTCTAATTGTGTGGTCATCATCACCAAAACCCACATTAGGGCTTGATTGCACTTACAATCTCTGCCTTTTTGGTGATTGATGACAACACGATTAGAGCTTACAAAAGATAGAAATATACAACTAAGATTTTCAAGCCATGGGTGTTGGAACTCCACCTGAATATGTGAATAGGAGTTTGAATTTCCAAATTGGCATAAGAGGCCAATATTCACATATTTGGGTGAAATGGAGGCTTCCCCTACATCCATTGCTTTTGTGGGGTGCTGCACATTGTGTCATATAAATAAACGTGATGCAAATGACAGGTATGCACACCAGAGAAAATAAGTGTTGAAATTGCTCAAAGTGGCACTACAGCTCTAGGAGTGGCACTCAGCACAGCAAGCGAAAGCCAAGCATCAACACAAAGCTAACACAAAGAGTATCTAAAAAAGCAGTAAATGACAAGCTAGAAAACATTACAAAGTACATGTCCACATCCACCATATTAGAGAGTACATAGGTAGCAATTATTATATAAAATAGAGTTTGAGTGACTCTCAACTCTCATCTCACACCTAAGTGACAACTAACTATCGACTCTCAAAGGATAGGACATGAAGGTCTTGCAAACCGACAAAAGCGATGAAAAAATAAGTTTTACCCCTCTCTCATCATCTTCTCCCCCTTTGCAACAAGCACCAAAAAGAGAATAAAAGAAGAAAGAGAGATGCAACTACTCCTCATCATCATCCTAGAAGTCGTCCTCATCACCATCGTTGTTATCATCATCATCATCATCATCATTATCATCATCTTCATCCTCCTCCTCGTCAGAGACAACGGCTCTACCACCATGAGTCGATGGGACTACAATCTCCTCATCAAGACTGGCAACCTCCTCCTCAAGTATCTCCTCCTCACTATCAAAGCTGGAAATGTCACTGTACTCCAAAGGAGGGCGAGGTGCCTCAAGTGAAGAAAACCCTTGAAGGCAATGAAGCTCTCTGTTCTCTAACTTTGACTCATATGCTGTCTGAGCTGCATATGTGCATTGACCAAAGAGAGCCTTTAGGAACCTGGCGATCTTGCTCTTTTTCTGCCCACTATGAGAGCACTCTACTATCCCGGACTGCCTCATTGTCTCTCCAACAACTGTATGGTGAGTCTTCTCACCTCTGTATGCTTCGTGAGTTCCATCCTTGTTGAAGGTATATCCTGTGACACGCTCGATGATGAACATAACATGGGGAGCAAAGGGCAGCCCCTTCCTCACATCCTCAGCAGCAATCTACAACTCCTTCCAGATGAAATGAGAAATAGAGAAGGGAGCTCCTATAGGTGCCATCCTTGCAAGGACATAATTTGCATACCCATATAAATCTGAAGCTGCTCCACCCTTTGGGTTAATTGATGTCCTGAGGAGGTTGTTAAGTATGTAGTAGAAGCTTTTTAGGCCCTTTACCTTGCCATAAGCTTTTCTGTGATTCACATACATGAAAGTGATCTATTTCACTGACACAGTGCCCTGATCATGAATCTCCTAGAAACCCCTGTCCTTACCACCAAGTCCCAACAGACGAGAGAAAGTCTTAAAATCGATCTTGTAGTGTCAACCTTCAGTCATCCAATGAAGCATATCTAACTTTGTTGCATCAATAGAAGGTAGCAAGGAATATGAAGAATCTCGAGTATTCCAATCATACTTAAAAGCCATGAGATCATACAGTCCAAACTTCTTGCATGTTGCTATAGTTTGGTTGAAATCTCTATCTCTCTTAGATTCCAAGTGCTCCCAGTCCACATATTACATTTTCAGAATCTTGGAATTCTTTGCATTGAAAAGCATAGAGAGATAATAATTAGAATGGAACTCGTTCCAAAAGCGATAATCAATACCAGTGTCTCTAGGAACAGTGTAGGGAATAATCATCCTGGCCTCCTTCACAATCTTGTCTTTGGTTACAGTAACTTGATCCTCTGCATCTCTGCTTAGTATCTTGAGGCATCCTCTCTTGCACATCCTCGAATATGGTACCATGTACGATCCATCAAACTCATTCATATGCTTAGGGGTATTAGGACAGACATCTGGACAGATAACCCGCCCCATCATCTCAAGCTGCAACTCCTGAACCACCTGCTGCTGAGTGCTCCCCCTATCACCACCAACTCCTCCTTTGCCTCTTGTTGGATTACTTACGCTGCTTACGAGCAGAGGTTGTTGTTGCCTTCCTTTGGCTGGGTCCATTTTCTTCTTTTTCCTCCTCTCTTCTTCACCATCGGAGGACATCTATGCAAATTTATGAAAGAACGAATAAGTGATTTGCATACTGGAGAGAAGATGAGCTGTTGTAGCGGATGAGATCAATCGAAGTGGAGAGTCACGGATCGAAGCAGCCTAAATAGTGCTGCAACCTTCTTTGCGGTA